TGTTTGAATGTGATGTAAATGTCAATACTCAAACACGTCTAGCTCTTTCAAACATTTTATGGGCCGGGAGATCCTATTATTTTGAATGTTTCGATGATTGGTACTTTTTGTTATCTTGAATAATCTAAAAAATCTTTATTTGAAAAAAAATTACAAAAATGGAATTGTCCTATTAGTGAGTGATTTGATCATGTTCTGACATCAAAATTAATGAAAGCCAGCAACCATAGACAAAAGAAGCTCAAAATGTTTATTTGATGAGATTTTCAAAATATGTCACTTTTTAACACCTCTATAATATCTGCACGTGATTCTAATAAATAAATATTGTACGCAAAAACTGAAAACCATGAATTATATTTATTTGTGCATTCTGAACTGGGACTACAAAATACAGCTGGAGAAAACGGTTTAGAGATTAATATAATAAATGAACCATATACGAGTGCGTGTGTGTACATATACCCTCGGTATAACAGGCTCTATGTAAACAATTTGTATCCACTGAATATAATCCCACTATACCAACCATATTTCAAATTGGGCTCTGCTTATATTAAGGTCGATCGTTGTTAAACCTATTAAATAAGAGTGGAATATCCTCATGTTTTTTTTAAAAATCATACGCAATTGTTGATTTACACACGAGTCATTTTTATTTTACCTGGAACGAAATTTTTATTTTACCTGGAACGAAATTTTTTTTTTTTTTTTTCAAAATTATTTTTGGAATTATTGCCATAGGAATAAATGTGGAACCATAACTTTCTAAGATTTTTTTTTACAAATTCCAAATTCCACATCTTATAATTACCAGGGTATATAGGATTTTTTTTCATCATATGAACCTCGACACAATTTTGAGAAATGACGAAATATTTTTACCAATGATGAATGATCCACAAAAAAATCCACATTTTCATGGGTGTGAAAAGTAGTTTGGTGACTAGACATTTTTTATCACAATTTTGTGAGCAACATAGAATAAAGCCATGTGGTAAATGTTAAGGAAATCTGACGATAAGTTTTAATGGCAGAAAACTACCTTAAAAGCGTCAATCAATTGAAGGACTAGTCCTAAAACACATAGCCCTGATTGTACGGTATATTGATTCTACCAAACTCAATCAGACTTGATCTCCGCTTACAAATTGACTGTGGACTGTCTCAAATTCAAATCAAGCATCGGCTAAATTACATGTGCGTGCGGTTACAACTTCAATTTAATATAACACAGTAGGCTTATCAGGCAGCTGTGACTGCCATACAAATAAGCCGGAGATGCATGCTAGCAATCCATATCGCAGAGGAACACAGGATAATGATGGTATTATGATGCAAGTGGAACAGTATCAATAATCATTTTTTTTATTTCAATAGATGATTAAATCTTCATCTGAATTATGATCACGAAATAAACTATAAACACACTCGCATGCATAAATATATATGCACAAATGAAATACACGCATACATGAGCGAACAAATTAAGCATGCATACACGAGCAAACACACCTACTGTCTTTCAGTAAAATGAATACTTGCGAGGCCAAACATCAATTGAGTACTAATCACTGACATGGTTCTCTATTTTGATCATGTGAAAATTTTTTTTAACTGGGAGAATATCATGTCTACATGCGACTGGTAATGAAAAGATGAAATCTTGTTCAGAATCCACTTTGTTTGAATAATAACAAATCAGTTCTAAACAAACAACAAGAAAAATGTTGATTTTAAGATTTTTCCAAACTTACTAATGCCAAAAAGAAGAACTCTAAGATATATTTACTAGTTAGAATGTAGAATATAACTAGTGACAGATTCATGTGCTGAATCACAAGATCTAGCATTGAGCTGGAAATGCCTAATGAACAGATTTACACTCCTACTGTAAAATACATTATTTTAGCTGGAATTAATTTTCGCTGAAAAGACTTTTTGAGTGTTTTGTATGAAATTTATTTTCACTGTTTTTTGACAAGTTGAATTCAAAATATAGGAAAACAGGTATATTCGCTGGATTTTATTTTCACTGAATCATTCCTTTAGTGAAAATAGCAAAGCAAAATTAAAGTATTTTACAGTATTATATGTCCTACTTACATCATATATTCTGGAATGCTGGAAGTAGAGGAAGCCACCTGACTAGTTCCATTGTGTTGGCCTTTCTTGTTCACTGGACTAGTCGCCTTCGTTGTTTCCCTCACAATATCTGCGCTACTTTTCGTTTTTCCTCTATCAGGACTAATTTTGCTACTGGCTTTTTTCAGTCTATTGGGACTGGTTTTCAACTCATTTCCGTCCCGGTGCTTTTTATCGCCGCTACCTTTAATGATTCTGTTATTTTTCTCTTGAAGATCCCGGCGTTTAGAGTCTGAGTTTGACGTGGTGACTTTGTCGAGCGTGGGTGATAATCTTGTCGATGTTATCGCATCAGATTTGATGTTCAGTAAAGTGTTGTTTGTGATGGCACCACCATTTACATTATTATTGTTATTTAGTGCTGGAGTAGGCCTGGCCGTATGCGCTATACGCTGACGCTTACTTTTAGGGTCCATACTATTGTCAGGCTCAGCGGGTCTTTTCTGCAAAGCGGAATACAAAATAGAATAAGGTAAAATTAACAAAAAAACATCAACAGAATCTTCTTCACAGCTGGGATGTTTAATGTATATGACAGGGACATCGCCAGCACTGCAAATACAAGACCCAAATTAAAATATACTTTTTTCAAATTTCGTAATACTAGGCAAGGTTCATTGAATTACTGCTTTGTTAAACAGATTTTGATGTATTTCTAAGAACAAGATATTAACAATGACAACAGACGACGAAACAAAGAAGAAAACACAGCACTCCAGTGTCTTCCTCTTTCTTTACGGACAAAGCAACAATTATCTTTATCTGATATTTAACGAAATCGTTAATTTCACATTAATTTCACATTAATTTTGAAGTAGTGGAAATTGGAATCTTTATGAAAGAGAAGTCTCAGTGACTTTCACCTTTGGAAATGGAATACATGTATGAAATAGTATTATAAAATAGCATATCAAATCATCTTTGCAAATTGTATATCAAATAGTCTATGCGAATAAATATATAAAATTGTCATTGCGAGTTGTATATTGAATCATCTTTGCAAATGACACATCAAAGCGTCTTTGCAAATGGTATAATCAAATCGTCTCCGATTGTCATATCAAATCAGTTGAAAAAAAAAAAAAAATCACAGTTTGCTTTTGTAACCATTTTGTATCAAACTACTTCTTTATACGAGAGTAACAAATCGTATAAAGTATACTTGCAATGATATTCTGCGATTGCCTTACCTGGGGACTACTTGGACTAGTGGCTGTGGTAGAAGAAGGGCTTAAACTATGACCATTTTGTGTCGGTGAGTATTCGTTACCATTCCTTATCTGGGCTAATTTACTGTTGTACAAATATAAACTGAAAATCAGTAATATACATTGCACAAAAGTTGGGGAGGGGCTCTGTTCAGATGCAAGCATAACAACTGAAATTCTGTTTTGCAATTCACCATTTCATGAAGTAGAGTGATGAAGTGTTTTAATGTAAATGGACGTAGAAGTATATTACTTCTAAATGTTCTTTTAGAACTATATTGCTTTCACCATTTTACATCACAGAAGTACTTCAATGCTAAAAGACACAACATACATGTAGAGGAAAAAGTAATTCTAGTTCCATGTACAGTCTTGTTCACACACCTTTTAATTTCACAAAGTAAAAATACTGTAAAACACTGTATTTTTACCAGAGACAGAGCTTCATGAAGTTTGCAAATTAGTGAAAATCGCAAAAAATTCGTAGCATTCTAAATTTCTCCCTTAGAGATTCATGAAATACTTAAATAGTTGACGACAGTTGAACGCTTGGCAGTCACCACAAAGATAGAATTTGAAGGTCAAAGCGAGCAGATGGACATTTATTAAATTCAATAATGTGTAGTAGAACTCATCAATTTATGTGCTTTTGATAAAGCAGATAATAAAACAAATCTGGTCTATTAGTAGTGTATGCACTTGCGTAAATGACAGGTGTGTCTAATGCCATATGCGAACGATCCAGCCTACTAGGAATGTGATTATTGGTGTATTGGCTTCTATAAGGAGAACTGTTTGGAGATGTGCTTCAAATAACGTCTTTTCTAGTAGGGTTTCTCTATTGATGTGGTGAAAGTAGGTTACATGCAACAATACCTTCTAAGAACTCTGCGATCATCGTCTGAGTAAGTAAACCAGTCTTCTCTCACTTCGTTATAGACATGTTTGTTTAACGTAAATGTATTGTCTTTCATTGTGGCAACCTGCAAGACAAAGTCATAATTTTATTTACCATAAAGTTACAAGGGTTACCAGAGTTCCCGAGGTTACAGCTCAACTAATTTCGGATCATTTTTATGGGTTTTTTAAGACCAATTTTGTCTGAGGTTAAGATCTGTATTTGTGACAGCCTCATAAAAACATCATAAAACTAAAACTGTATATCATAATTTTATCATTTCAAAATGCATTCTATGTTATCGTGAAATTGACCTACTAGTATACGAAATAAGCAAGCAATACACATTCACAAACTCATCACATTTGTTTGAATGTCTGGTTTTTCAGACTTTTTCAAGACATCTTTAAATATCATTTTTTATATATGACATAGTTGGGGTAATACAGTTTTAAGATGTTAATTCCTTATGCGGTCAAGTCGACATAAAAGTACATGAATGAGGCTGGCCGAACAAGGGCAAAGACATCTGCAGGAAGCTTGAGTTACAAAGTTAAAATGGTGCAGTCAGGTGGGGGGTGGGCGTTTGTCCAGGTATGGACTCTTACCCGGATAAGTACGGTATAAAGTTCTTATTTTACACAACTTGATCAGAAACAACTGATTACTAAATGTCATATTGCAATGCAATGAACAAATTTATAATTTTATTGAGCTTGGTTACATAAGCTCCAATATTTCATCAAATTACTGGGATTTTTAATTTCACCCAGTCACTAGCCCTTCAATTTCAGCCAATCTCTGAAGCCCTTTCAATTTCAGTAAATTACTGTGGCTTTTAATTTCAGCCAATCACTGAAGCACTTTCAATTTCAGTAAATTACTGTGGCTTTTAATTTCAGCCAATCACTGAAGCACTTTCAATTTCAGTAAATTACTGTGGCTTTTTAATTTCAGCCAATCACTGAAGCACTTTCAATTTCAGCAAATCACTGTGGCTATTAATTTCAGCCAATCACTGAAGCACTTTCAATTTCAGTAAATTACTGTGGCTTTTAATTTCAGCCAATCACTGAAGCACTTTCAATTTCAGTAAATTACTGTGGCTATTAATTTCAGCCAATTTCTGAAGCCCTTTCAATTTCAGTAAATTACTGTGGCTTTTAATTTCAGCCAATCACTGAAGCACTTTCAATTTCAGCCAATCTCTGAAGCCCTTTCAATTTCAGTAAATTACCGTGGCTTTTAATTTCAGCCAATCACTGAAGCACTTTCAATTTCAGGAAATCACTGTGGCAATTAATTTCAGCCAATCACTGGAGTCCTTTCAATTTCAGCCAATCACTAAAGCACTTTCAATTCAAGCCAATCACTGGAGCTCTTTTAATTTCAGCCAAGCCCTTCCATTTAAGTCATATCAATATGTTGAATTTATTTTTTTGTGGCTCACTCAGCTTCAGCATGCTTCACACTGTGTATGAAAAGTGAATGTAACAGACTGTGAATGACAATACAGAGACCTTTCAAGCATTGTGACCACTATGCTACGATGCTAGAGCATTTGACTAGAAAAAGAATTGGATGACAATGATGACAATTATGACAACGACAACGGTAGTGATGACCGCAACAACAACAACGACGGCGACAATACCGACAACACTTCACAACCATAATTCTATTCTCCATTAATATTTTGAAAAAAGCTACTTAGAGGATCATTAAGATGAAAATAATTCCCCAGACTGAAATCATACTTCCAATATACTTGTTTCATACCCACATTAAAAGCACTGCTTATGTTTGTAGTGTGGAGCGTGAAAATTACGTGGGTGTAATGATAGCACAATCGAAAGCCAAAACCACAGCATATAATGT